CGGCATGTTAATTAATAAAAAAAAAAAGAACATGGCATGTATGTGTGTGTGTGTGTGTGTGTGAACTATTCCTACTTCGTGGTTTTTCACTTATCGCAGGGCTTCTGGGTACGGATCCCCTGTGATAAACGAGGGACTACTGTACCCACCATTTTATTGCACAGATCCATTCATCCATGTATGCCATGTTCTTTTTTTTATTATTAATTAACAAGCCGATAAAACCTTTCAAATGTGCTGAATTCAATAAAACAAAATAAATAATATATTTTATCAAAGCTGCTTTAAAATATTTCCAAATGAGCTGCCATGAAATAATCAGCAGGTTAAAAAAAGACGAGCGTATCGCTCTGTGAGAACAATTAATTCTAAAGTTTTCTTGAAAACTAATTTTCTTTGAAGAAAACCTCATTTTTATTTTTTTTTCCACCTTCCCTTAAATTAAACAACAACAAAGCTCTGCTCTACTTATCAGGTTACAATATTAAAGATCAAACCCTCAGAGAGAGAAATATTCACTAAATTGAAGTTATTGGCCTATTTTCCCAGTCTCCATTACTCCCCCGGAGAAGTCAGCCAGGTTTCCAGTGCAGCTCATATCAGCGAGGCTGTAAATGGAATCCATCAATAACAAGCCAACAGCAGCTTCAACAGCAGCCGCTCCAAACATCCATTTATACGGCACAATATAAAACGCAATCAATACAAGTTCAGGCAAAAAATACTAAATCTCAATCTGTTTCTAATGTTTTGAAATGATGAAGTCCTGTAATTATGTTTACATGAAATGATCTAATGTGTGCTTGATAAGTTGAGGCTTTCCATTTCACTGTTTATTTATAATTAGTGAACACAAGGTCGTGTTTCTGCACAAGTACAGGATGCTGGTAGTGGCAGTTTGAAAGCTATGACGTTAAATTATGAACAGAGGTTTACTTCATATTTTACTTAGTTTTGGATTATCTGCTAACATAATAGTGTCAATTTAATCACTTTTTATAACAATTGCAAACTCATACTCACTACGCTGCTGAGTCATTGAGTTGGTATTCTCGCGACCGTGCAAAGCAGCTCTGTATGCCGCAGTCGGCCCACAACCGCCGGATCACGTTGGCTAAGTCTTCAGGAAGAATGCCCTGCTCCTCCGCAGCTGCAGCCAGGGCAAAGAGCTGCTGAGCATCGTCCTGCAGGGAGGGGTGGGGGGTGGGGGGGATTAAAAGAGGTTGGGAATTAAATCAGTTATGCTATAATCGAGATGAAAACGTTTATCTGCAAGAAGTGATGACACTAAATTGAGCTTATAAAAATGTACATGAGTTAAAATTAAATTATCTTTCTGAAGACAGCCATTTCATGAAGTCCAGCCGAATGCAGTACTTGTATTTACTCTAATGAAAAGTGCTGTAAAGACTCGGTCATCAATATTAAATGGATTTTTGTTGCTACAGCAATATGTGCACATAATCAAAATGCACGATTCTCTGTTATTTTTATGAAAAGCAAAGCAAAATTGATGACTTTGAGGAATTACAAAATATAGATTCTAAAAATGTACAAAGAATCTTTCTGCTAGTATTAATGAGAAAAACCCGCATGATAATTTATATAAATAGCATTATATTAGTGTCACATTTAGGATGAGCGGTACCACTTTACAATAAGGCTCCCCTTATCGATGCTAATAAATAGTTTATAGATATGTTATTATCCTCTATAAACACTTTATAAATGGTTAATTACTGCTTATTATGCATTAATTAAAGGTGACAGAGACAGAACTGACCAGTATGTTGCCAAATAGTGAGCCAAATCTGTTCACCTATATATTTTATGTAGAGTTGTTACATTACACATTTCAGACTAAGTTACTACCTTGTAAGAACATAAAGCATTTGTAAACCTATTTCTTTAGCATATAATATTGTACTTTAGCACTGTAATATAAGTATCTACAACTAAAATTATATGCTAAAAAAATAGATTTAGAAATGCTTATTTTGCTCACAAAGTAGTAACTTAGTCTAAAATGTTTACTATAACAACTCTAGATGAACTATATAGGTGAACAGATTTGGCTCACTATTTGGTAACAAACTGGTCAGTTTTGTCTCTGTCGCCCTTAATTAATGCATAATAAACAATTATTAATGATTCATAAAGTGTTTATAGTGGAATTAATATCATATCTATAAATTATTCATTAGCCATCTATAAAGGGAGCCTTACTGTAAAGTGGTACCAAATGATCATTGAATGACAAAAGGTGTGCTGATCACTAACATGATACAGGTGGAATGTAGGGCGCTGCAAAGCAGGACCACTGAGCACATCTAACGGCAATGATAGTAAAACAATAAATAATAATATATATATTTATCTATAATGTATATATAAATAACCCTTTTTTGTCTTTCGGCTGCTCCCTTCTTCAGGGGTTGCCACAGTGAACTGTCGCATGAAGATTTGGCAAATGTTTTTTTTTTTTTTTTTTTTTTTTTACGCTGGATGCCCTTCCTGACACAACCACAGAACACTGAGCTACCACAGCCCTCTGTGTGGAGCAGAGAGCTGCCATCTAGGGTGCCCTGGGGACGCCCATGGTTGGGGTTAAGGGCCTTGCACAAGGGCCCAGAGTGAGGCAAATGAGGGTGGAGACAGGTGTGGGTGATTCACCTTTGCCACCCACATTTTGATGTTATTGATCCAGGGAGTTGAACCGGTGACCTTCCCATCACAGGCCCACCTTCTCTATCCTCTGTGCCGCCACTCCCCCTAAATCACAATAATTTACCACAACCAACCAAATACAGTAGCTAAGGATACAAACACATGCTATGTTAAAGAGTTTTCCTATAGACACTGTGTTAAATAATAAAAAAATATATAAAAACAAATCTACATGCTGTGTGAAATGAGTGCATTTTGTGAAATATTAAAAAACAAACATCAACATATTGATTCATGATGAATTTATATGAGCAGGTTGGTAATTAAATCATTTATGCCATAAATGATTTAGTCATAACCCCCACCACCACCACACACACACATATTTATGCACTGTTTGAATACAAACTGTGGTGAAAAGTGTTATCTTATGCTAGCTATAATTTTCTTCCAAACCCAGAAAATCAGAGTTTATTATAGTTCCAACTTAATGTGTTGATTATGTTTCCAAAAAAAGAATAATGCCATCAATCTTATTGGATCAAGAACATGTAAGTTACTGTACAACTGACTAAAAATACATTTAACTTGTTGGTCATTCACTTTCTCTTGATTTAAGAAGTGAACTTTCTAATTGATTAGTTTTATGTGTCAGTGTTGGAATAGATATAGTCTAACTGTTGTACAATTTGTTGTACTTTAGGAGTATTTTTGCTAAACTGGCTGAAAATGAAAATAATTTAATTTTAGGTGCAGGATTGTTATTGTGATGCAGATTTTTGAACTCTCTCCGCTCCATCAGTCAAATTAAATAACTGCGTTTTTGTGCTTGTGTAAATGTAAGCAGAATATGCACTATCTCTGCGGTGCTGATGTGTCCGAGTGCAAGCAGGCTAACACACTAATTGCTGTGTGTGGGAGTGTGAGAGTACCATCACGTACACAGAGCCATTTAACAGATCTGTTAGTGGAGAAAGACACACAAACACCACCACAGCAGCGTCCTGCTGTTCGATTACAGCTTCAGTTACAGAACACATGCGCTGCTTTCAGAGTAAAGTCACCCTGAGTCACAGCTCACATTTCCCAGGTTGCGAAGACTTCACAGGATGCTGCAGAAAACAGATCCGCGTAGAGCTGGGTTTTGTTGATTTTAATGGATGGGTCTTTGTACAGGTGTGTTTGTTCATGTTTCTGTATTAAAGCTGTGTGAATACACTGCTGACCTTCTGTGGATGTGTCTCACATGTATGATCATTCTTACTCTTACCATGTTTTGCTTTCTTAACTGGCAACACAAGTTTAACATCTGAAGGTGTGATGTCTGGTGAAGTGTGCATGTGAATTGACTCTCCATGCTTTTTTTTTTTTTTTACATGTTATAGCAAACAAATTTACATTATGTTGTATAAATCTTTATAAAATCCATAGTTTTCTCACTTCAGGCTGCTGGTCAAGCTTTGATACAACAATTAGACAAAAATGTTTTCATGAATTCAGTGAATTTTTATATCTGAATCCATGTGGTGTTCTGTTGAACACCATACTGTATATGATGAACTTCAGAACAATAGGCCTCTGCAGCCATTTTCACCAAACAGTTCAGCGTAAACAATGACATTGGCATCGTGGAACCATAAGAGGCACTGAGTTTATTTTAGCAGCATTAATGGAGCACTATGAAAACATGTGTAAGATTTCCTGTTCTAAAATCCTGTGGCAGACCACCTGTCATCATATGACAAACCCTCGAGCCCTTACACATATAAACCATTACAGCTCTATGACTACCTCCTTCGCTGGCAGTTTGACTTCAATGCCCTCTGCTGTTTCCTCACACTGAAACAACAAAGGGGCAGCACGGTGGCACAGTTGGTAGAGCTGCTGCCTCTCAGCGATCAGGTCCCCGGTTCAAATCTCGGTCCGGGGCCTTTTTGGGTGGAGTTTGCATGTTCTCTCCGTGCATGCGTGGGTTTTCTCCGGGTACTCCGGTTTCCTCCCACAGACAAAAAACATGCATGTTAGGCTGATTGGTAACTCTAAATTGTCCCTAGGTTTGAGTGCGAGAGTGAATGGTTGTTTGTCTCGTTTGTCTCTATGTGTCCCTGTGATGGACTGGAGACCTGTCCAGGGTGTCCCCCACCTCTCACACAGTGATAGCTGGATATGGGCACCAGTGACCCCCGCAACCCGAAAAGGACAAAGCGGGTAAAAGATAATGGATGGATGAAACAACAAAGGTTTCATAAATGCTTATGATTGCATGGCAGCTTATTTTCCACACAGAATTTCTGTACAGTAATTAAATAGCTGCTAGTTAAACACTAAAATTACTGGCAATATTAGAAACAATAAAACCTCCATTTCACACTCTAAGGTACATAAAACCTAGAGGGTTTCGTATGGATAATGAAAATTAATTTCCATGACCGGTTAATTTTGGGACAGCAGTGTGAGCAATAGTGGGCCCGCTGTTTTTATAGCTCTTTTCATGGCTGCTTTGAGCCTCAGTTGTAGACTTTCTCTGTGGGGTTTGCTGTGGTTACCTCCAACAGCCCATGATATGCATAAATAAATTAATCTGTTCATTTTCATCTTGACTGTAAAGATATGCAATACTCTGCTTTGTTGTTCAGACTTCTTATCAATCCATTTTAGGGTATTTGACTGCAAGTGGTCAGCTTCAACATCTTTGTTCACATTTAATGATAAAATGCATACCCCGTGGAGTCACGTCAGTCTAGAAAGAGGCCCCACTGTGGGGTACATGACCGACTGATCAGATTAGAAAAGGGTCCAGAACACCTCTGAAGTTGGTCTGAAGAAAGATGGTTTCTATGTGCTTTGAGGGAGTTTAAACTTTAGTGCTATCCAGTTACAATCAGATTGCTAAAACTCTTAAATAAATCTAAACAACATTTTTGATTCCCAGGGGAAGTCATTCATCTTAGAAGTTAGAAAATGATAAGTCACAGCTGTTTAGAACAAAGAAATCAAGCAATCAGGTTGTGTTTAAGGTCCTTCTTCTCCAGCTGGGTAGTCCTCGGGTCATGATTTTAAATTTTTGTGACCTGTATTCTTTTTCAAGAGCACCTTTGAATTAATCTAGTCTCAAAAAGAGCTGTTGGTGGCTGCTTCCCCTGCTTGCACTCAAACTCTTCCCTCTTTTACAACTTCATGACAGTGCAGATCAAAGACGGAGGAGATGATGTTGTGGAGATGAGGACTGTTTCCCTGCGGGTTACGGTGATGCATCAGTAAAGGATTACACAGCGTTCTAGTTTCTACCACATCAATGCTTCTGCAGACAAAAAGGCTGCTGTGAACAGGTGTGCGTTAGAAACCACATGATCACACATTTGTTTTACTGGCACCGTTCACCAGTGTTATTGACAGAACAAGAACAGCGAGGAGGGGAGAAGATATGAGAAACAGACCTGTCTATTTTTATTTTTATTTTTTTAATTGATGTCACAACCCTCTGTTCACATAGTTGGGTTGGGGAAGAGAAAGAATAAATGTTTATTCCAGAAAAAAGAAAATGTGCAGAGGTGAGTTGGGCAAGAATGAGTTAAGAAACAAATATAAAGCTGTGTGAATTCAGAGAAGGCACTGGATGTACAGCTGCAAGAAGCTGTTGATAATAAGGGAAATGTGGCCTAAAAGAGATCCTATTCTGCAGAGGGTAACTGATTAACTGGTGTACCGCATCTTTAATCTGTCCATAAACCAAAGTACTGTTCCAAATGCTTGGAAAACAGCTTTTGTGCTACCTTTACCAAAGGTAAGAGACCCCATTATATTGAACAACTATCAGCCAATCTCTAAACTCTGTATTGTAGCTGAGGTTTTAGAAAAATTGATAAATACTCAAGTCAAGAAGTATTTGAATTATTTTAGCATCTTATCTCCCCATCAGTCTGGTTTCAGGAAACAACACAGCACAATGACTGCTTTGCTGAAAAATTTTAATGATTATGTTGAAGCTTTGGATCCTAAGGATTATTGTGCTGCGCTTTACTTAGACCTGTCTAAAGCTTTTGACACTGTGGACCATGACATCTTATACCATAAGCTCTCAGAAATTGGTTTCTCAGATCACACTATTGGTTGGTTCACTCTCAGACTGGAGGCAATGTGTTTAACATAATGGTACTTCTTCCAGTTATTTAACGATTAACAATGGTGTACCACAAGGTTCAGTCTTAGGACCCACCCTCTTCACAATCTACATAAGTACTTTAGGTCAAATCATTCCTGATGCATCCTACATTTCTATGCCGATGACACAGTTATTGTTGAACTAAGAGTTGATAAGGTTTTCCAGCTTCTACAATCTGCATGTGACATCATTCAGTCCAATCTGTTCAGTATCAAATGCTGATAAAACCAAAAGTTATTTTCAAACAGGAAGTTGGTTCCAGCAGTCCTTCCTTCTGTCTTATCTATGATAGGCGTTCCTATTAAATTTGTCGACTTTTACAAATATCTGCAAATCTTGGTCAATGCACATCTCTCTCTTAAGCATCATGTCGAAAACTTGGTAAATAAATTGAAAGTTAAATTGGGTTTCTTTTTCAGAAATAGATCCAGATTAACTCTGAATGCTAGGAAACACCTTGTAACTGCTATTTTCCTTCCGTCCATTGACTATGGTGACATTATTTACATGAACGCTCCTACAAGCACCCTGCAGATGTTGGATGCTGTTTATCACGGTGCACTAAGATTCATAACTGGCTGTAACTACCATACCCACCATTGCACCCTGTATTCGCTGGTTAACTGGTCATCATTAACTTCACGCAAACTCTCTCACTGGTACATTTTCATCTTTAAATCACTTCTTGGTCTGTTGTCTTAATACATCTCCTCCTACATGTCACTTCGTCAGTGCAGCTACAGCGTGCACTCCCAAGACATCATTACCTGCAGTGTTCCCTCAGTGCGGACCAAATTTGGCAAAAGAGCCTTCTCTTACTCTGCTCCTGTAACCTGGAATAACTAACAAAAAGATCTGAAGCTCTCGACTTTGACCTCCCTAAGGGATTTTAAACAACTGTTAAGTTCAATGCAAAAATCATTGCAGACATGTTCCTGTTTTTACACCGTTTTTATAATGTAACACATTTTTTATTTCTTTTTATATCACCTCTTTTATTGACTTTCATTTTATATGCTTGTATAGGATTGTTTTATTGTTGTGTGATTTTTGTTTAAAACAAGTCTGTCTTGTAAATGAGTCCTCATGACTCAATGAGACTAACCTGTATAAATAAAGCTTGAATGAAAAAGAGGGTAATATATCACTGTACAGTATACACAAACAATAATGAGGACGTTTTTGCTTTTGGCTTGGTTTTTAGTAAACAATAATTGGTTATCTTATGCTAATGGAAACAACAAAAACATGCAGAGGGGAATAAAATGAATGTTTAGCTTTTTCAAAAGTATTGTGTCTCTTTGTGTATCTTACCGTTCTTGCAGGGTTGCTGTAATCTATCTTGAGACTTGCCATGGCTTTAACAATAGCCATAATAGATTGGATGGTATTACTGTAAACAACCGCTCGATACTGCTTGCATTCATCTTCTGAGTAGCCGTCTTCGTGGATGATCCTGAAAATACAAAGAACTTGCAAGTTTTATTTCAGTACATATTTATGAATAAATTCACAGTATGCGCAGTAAAAAAGCTTGATTTAGTAAATCCTGGTGTTATGTGGGATTAAACGCGACATTTAGTAAATTATTTCTCTTTCCAAAAAGTCGAGGTGAGATTTACCCTCATTGATAGAGTAGCAGGCTTTTAGTTTAAAATGGTTAAACTGCTTTTCAGAGCAATAAATCAATAATGTTACAATATAATTACAATACAAAACAATGCAGTGTTAACTCAAAATGGGCTTATTATAATAGATGAGATTCTTTCATAATAAAAATGCTTTTATCCCTCTACACATGAGACACAATCAACTTCATCAGTTGCTTAAAGCAATAATATTATTTCATCCTAAGTTTAGTCGCTTTTCTTACCTTAACATTCGTTAAATTTCTCTAATTGATCTCTAATTTCTCTTCTGATGCTTGTATATAAATTTTCATTCACACAAATTTAATTGTAAAGCAGGTGAAAGAACAATATCATTAAAGGCCTAGCATTCCTTGAAGTAATATTTATCGCTCATTGCCTTTCATGTCTGAGTTTTAGATTAAAATCATCGTATGTTGAGGAATGAAAGAGTTGTAGCCTTTTTGGTCAAGTCTGAAAATTATCTCTGTGTGATGTTTATGAAGCATGTGCTGTGAATGACTCAGCTACTGTCACATAAAAATGTATCTCAATATGTGTAAAACTGAGTTAGGACATTTTTGCGCTGGCTAATGTTGGTTAGCTCTGAAAGCTGCCTTGAATTGGCATGACTCCAGATGTTCATCAGCTGTAGCCTTAGAGCTGATGATTAGGTACAAGTTTCCTTAAAATTTGTCCAATGTTTAAATAAATAGTTTGATAACAGACACACCCACACACTATGGCAAATAGAATTTCGGCAGCAACGGGTGATATAAATTCTTACAGAGTCATAATATCAGATTATCTCACCTGTGGTGTCCCACAAGGGTCTATTCTTGGGCCACTATTATTTTCCATTTATATGCCACCACTTGGTCAATTTATTCATAAATTCAATATCTTTTTTCTTTTTTATGCAGACAATTCCCAGATTTATTTGGCTATTAACATATCAGACCTCTCTACTCTCAATAAACTTACCCTCTGTTTTACAGACATCAAAACTTGGATGTCTGATAATTTTTTTTCACTCAACAACAATAAAACTCAGGTAATGGTGTTTGGATCCCAAAAGGGATTCAGTAGTTCAGTCCCTTTTTCTTCTTGATTTTAACTGCACTCATGAAGCCAGAAAGTTGGGGGTGAGCTTTGATTCTGATCTTAGTTTTTCTAAACATTTTAAGCACAGCTTTTTTTTTTTTCAAACTAGGAATATTGCCAAAATCAGAGCATTTATCTCTTTAACTGATGCAGAAACTCTTATTCATGCCGTTTTCTCCTGTCATCTTGATTATTGTAACTCTTTATTTTCTGGTCTGCCCCAAAATTCTCTTAATCGTCTTCAACTAGTACAAAACACTGCAGCTAGAGTTCTCACAAGAGCCCATAAATATCAGAACATCACTCCTGTTCTGTCCTCATTGCAATGGCTCCCTGTGGTTTTTAGAATTGACTTGAACATTTTATTGTTTGTTTTTAAATCCCTGAATGGTCTTGCGCCATCATATCTATCTGAGCTTTTTACCCCCATATCCCTTCTTGCAATCTCAGATCCTTAAATCTTTTATTACTTTCCACTCCCAGAGCTCGACTGGTGACAGAAGGAGGGAGGGCTTTTATGGTCAGGGTTCCTAATTTGTGGAATGCTCTTCCTCTAAATATTAAACAGGCCTCTTCATTGTCTTCTTTTAAATCATTAGTTAAAACGTACTTGTATAATAAGGCTTTTAATATCGGAATTTCTTTGTATTTTCATTTTCATTTTTTCTTATATTGTTATGTATTTTAATTGATTTGATATACTTTTGTGTTTCTGGTGTCATTGATGATGTTGTTTAAATTGATTAATGTGAAGCACTTTGTAACATTTCTTTAAAAAGTGCTATACAAATAAAGTATTATTATTATTATTATTATTATTTTCTCACATCAAAAAAACATGTTTTAGATTTGCAAGTACATAGTAGCTGAGAAACAAAAACATATTTAGTGGAATAAACAATAAAAATATATTTTTTGCATTTAGTTATTGCTTGTATAGTTTCCCTGAGGGTTTAATTTCACTAATGTAACAGTGTGGGTGTCAGCTTGAGAAAAACATGATCCATTATTTCCACTATCACTGCTGTTTGTAAAATGCGAAACTACAACATCACAAAAAACTAAAAAAGTTACTCTTTTAAAGCACAGTTTCTTATGTTGTTCTGTCATAAAATTATATAAAAAAGCAAAAATTCAGCTGAAAATGTTTGTGTAAAAGTCAAGAAAAATAGGGCAATAAAAAATCCAGATCCTTAAGCAGTTTTATTCGTTTGGCCCTGATTCTGGTTGCTGCAGCTAATTATCAAAGGTAAAACCACGGGGTGGAAAGTTTGAACACTTTATTTTTTCAATAACACCATCTGTCAGTTCTCTGAAGAGTCGATCAGAAGGCAGATTTACCATCGCTGCTGTGTGGGAGTGAGACATGAGGACTTACAGAAAAAGGGACTCTAAATTAGACTGTATTGCTTTCACATATGATCACTCACACAGAAGTGACAACATGCCGTTACCAGACTGTTGTTGATATATAAGAGACCATAAAAATTCAAAAATCCTATATTCAGGTGAACATCTATCTTTAAAATGGTCACCAAATATTTAGTAGGGTCAAGAACAACAGCTAAATATATTAATTGTTCATAACCTTTTCACAGAAAGCTTGCACATAAATTGGACTTGCATACATTTATTTAAACTGTGAGGGAGAATGCATCAATCAAGACTTTATACAATTACAAATTATTAAGATAATGCTAACCTCTTTTTTTCCCTTTTAGCTGCTCCCTTCTTCAGAGTGAGCAAATTTGGATGAAGATTTGACAACTGTTTTTACACCGGATGCCCTTTCTGATGCAACCGACCATTGAGCTACCACAACCCACATGTGTGGAACTGAGCCCGACCGATATATCGGTTGGACCGATATTTTGGGCCGATATAGATGTTTGGGGACCTATCGTATCGGTGATAATTGTCCCATTATGCGCTGATATACACTTCTAATTTTTACCCCTAAAATGCTGGAACTAGCCGCAATTTGTTGCTCTTTGTTGAATTCAGGTCTCTCTTGTAAATGAGTCCTCGAGGCTCAATGGGATTAACCTGTCTAAATAAAGGTTGAATGAAAGAATGAATTGTACAATGCATCCAGTAGCGGGCGCAGGAAGACTACTTTCAAATCATGTCCGTTCACTTAAGTTTCACTTTCACCACAGCCGAAGCGGGGAGCAATACTGTGTAGCAGATTTTGCTGAGCAGAGCATTGTAAGTTTATTTTAACTGGTCGATAAAATAAATCACCAATAATAAATTATCTTCAATCCTTCAACCCGCTTGTCATTAGCTATGTGCCTCTCAAGTTAGCAAGCGAACATTAGTGTTTGGGTGCACTGCCGTCAAGACATTATCCTGTTGTCAGTAGTTAGAGCAACCAGTCCTGTCGAACTGAGCTTCTAGTTTGTGAGGACATCCAGCGTTAGCAATGTTATCTTTGTCGTCCTCAATGAAAGGCATTGTTTGTCTAAGTCTTTACTTCTCTGCAAAGAAAAATAAACTCTGCTGCGGTCATTACTAATTAGACCTTCACCATACATGACTGTTTAAACAATGAACAGGGAAGGGTATTTCTTTGTTTAATTTATATTTTTTTAACACACTTGATAACTTTATGGTGAGTAATGGAGGACAGAAAATGTGAACGCACGTTAGGAAGACTGTTTTTATGACCAGTGCACCACTTGTAAATCTACTGTGGGACCACGTATAGCGTGGATCTGATTTGCTTAGCTTCATGATTGCTAACAGCTGCGCTAAATAAACAAACCTGGCTCCACTCACTGTTTTCTTAGACCCTTGGGGGTAGACAAAGCTAAAAAGTTTTCAGCCATTATATCGATTATCACCTTTAGCCTGCCTCTCCCAATATCAGTATCGGTGACAACCAAAATTTCCATATCAGTCGGGCACTGTGTGGAGCAGAGGACTTCCATCCAGGGGAGAAGATGGGGGTTAAGGGCCTTGCTCATCAGCCCAGAGTGGGGCAAATGAGGGTGGAGGCAGATGTGGGTGCTTCACCTTTCCCACACACATTTTGATGTTATGGTCAGAGAGATGGTGCATTAGTAGTCAAGCCTCTGTTGGGTCTGGGGTCTTTCTATGTGAGATTTGACAGATCTCCTCATGTTGTGTGTGTTTTCTCCAGTACTCCAGTTTCCTCCAGCAGTTAAAAAACATGCATGTTTAAAAAGAGTTCAGTGATGTATGAGTGTCAGTGTGTGCATCCGTGATCAGTAGAGCTTTTGTGGTTAAATAAAGGGTAATTTTAACATGTTTTCTTACTATCTAATCTATGAAGACGCAGCATACTGTGTATCATATTCCTATACAGGCCTTGTGTGCAGGATGATGTGTAGCAGTGCGTTTGACACACACTTGAACTGCCTCCTCCCTGCAGCATTCAGCTGATGCAGCACTGTTTTTTTTCTGTGCAATAATAATTCTGTGGCTGCAAGAGTGAGGGAAGCAAGATGTTTCCTATCAGATACATCACACTGTAGGAGGAAGTGCAGAGAACGCAAACTGAGTCAAGTTTCTATTCATTCTAAAGTCACGCAGACTGATGCAGTAAACCGTGACATGATGCAAATGTTAATACTGACCGGTAGTCATTTAGGAAGTAGCGGCCATCATGTTCAGTCGGTTTAAGTAAAAACATGGTTTTCTCACATCCAGAGGCTATTTCTTTGGCTAATGTTACACAACAGGACAGTGTAAAGAATGTCTCATAGGGTGGTTTATCTGTGTGCTGTGATATATAATTAAATGATTTCATAAACAATGAACTGCTCCTACTTCAAGCTCATAAAAAATGAACTCAACGCCTGTTTAGCTCTGAGGAATGTGGACAATTAAAATATTTAGCATCCTCAGTTTGTGCAGGTCCATTAGTGTCTGTGTTCAGTGAAACCGTAACTGGAAATTCATTCCACGTAAAGTAAATAAGTGATCATATTATCCCAGGAAACTAAAGTGCAGGAGTTAAGATTCATCCTATTAAACAGTTACATCATTTGTATTATTATTAGTCTCTGAGGATCTGATAACTGAGTGCTATCTAAATATAGAAGACAGAGCCAGTGAAATATTATAGGGAGTAAACATCCCCAGGTACAAGCATGGTGTTTGAAAGTCTTGCTTTTTAAGAATTATTAAAGTTTAAACAGAACAGACCTCAAATTGAACAATTAAGTGATATAAAAATTGGTTTCATAACTTACTTCATTTGCTTTACAATGGTGCTCTTCCCAGACTCCCCAGCACCTGTTGGGACAATAAAATATTAGAGGAACACAGAAACCTCACATGGCTGCTGTTGTCTTGATGTGTTGGAGCAAAATAAAGTTCAACTTCAGCTCCCCCCTCAACTTCAATATTTGTTTTTTGCTTAACAGAAAAATAGATTAACAAAGCTTTCCTAAAAAAAAGTATTTTAGTGACAGTCAAACAAGATGCAAAGGTGTTTTTGGAATATTATTCTATTTGTAGCATTTAAAATATATATTGCAGCTTCATGGTGTATTTTTCTATTTATTTTTACTGACTCAAATAATCAGTTTGTATGATAAGAGATGTAAAAAAAAATTACCACTTCATCATATTGCAGCTGTTATTTAGGGCCCTTTCAGTCAGATTTACTAAGAACAGACAAAAGCCAGCATATGCTGATCTTTCTTTTTAAGTGTAGAATAGGGACAAATTAAACAGCTGCTTTTTCAATATCTTACCTGCAGTAGAATTCACTCAGAGCATAATTTAATTTACTTTTTAAATTATTATTATTATTATTATTATTATTATTATTATTATTATTATTATTTTAATCATACCCATAGAAGTCTATGGTCAAGACTGAAGATCGAGTCAGTCTGCAGTCGGTTCATGTAAAAATTTTGTTGCAAAATCCAACATGTTAAGAACAGCCAGGTAAAGTATGGATTTGGTGGAAAAGTAAGGTAATGTAAAAACTCAAAAAACAACAACACTGTGTCCACTATAATATTTTTGTTTTTGTTAAACTGCATTGCATCATGATTCTTCTGTGAGGTAACACAAAGCGTTTCTTCTGGAACGTAGGTTTTACGTGGACCATCACTGGTAAGACGACACAGCCGACTCAGTTTTCACTGTCAACAACCATCGACATATGACAGAAATTCTTTTTGGAACCAGCTCCACTTTAGTCTTGCTAACAGATCAACTCCGAGATAATTTGGGCCTAAAATTCAAAATTGTAATGACCAGGGTGGTTCCTACTGCCGGTAAGATATTGACTTCTAATATCAACTCCACAGAACACCACAATAAAAAAGACAAACAAGTCCTTTAAGGCTAGAGATTGATGTTATTATACATAATTTGTTTGTTCCTAATATGAAAAACTGTGATTATTTTTACTCCTTCCCAGTACTTTCAGGATTATTCAACCATACACTGTCCATTTACATCACATGACCAATGTCTGCTAACAACAGTTAACCAAACCTTGAGCTAACAGAGTGAACCAGGTGGTGTACTTTTCAGCACACATAAAGTACGTAAATTTGTCATTTAACTATTTTTAAATACTTTTGACTTCTTCTCTTTCAGTTATGGAATATACTTGAATAAATATGATATTAATGTCAGGACAAAAATCAGTAAGATGACTGTTTGTGTTATTGATATCATACCTCATACAAAAAATAACCCATCTCATTATATGCAAAAAGTAGATCTAGTTTATAGGAGCTTAGATAAAACTGTTCTGTGTGAGGAGAAAAGACAGCTGGTAATAAGTAGATTAGTTTCACAGCAGAGACATATTTGAAGGTCACCTTCCTGGCACCAAAATAAAACTCTTCCATTAATATTTCAAGTCTACAAGGAGGTGAACGCTTGTGAGCAGCAGAGGAAAGAAGGAGGCTCTTCTCATTTCTTATGTAAGGTGTTTTAAGAGAACCACCAGCTGGTATTGTGCCGCTTCAGGGGACAACTTTGGGACTGACTTGAGATTTCCAGCAGAAGGTCATCTTATTGTTGTAACCAGAGGGGAGTAAACAGTGTAAACATTATTGTCACAATTCATCTTTAAGTTAGAATCCAATTATAAAACGTAATTTAATCAAAATAATTATGTCTTTGTTAGAAAAAAAAAAAAAAAAGAAACACTAATCCATCAACCATTTCTATGAACCTCTAAAATCCAGATGTTTGACATAATCATCATGCATGTTTGTTAAATATAATAACTGTCCTGTAATTTCAGGTTTAACTCCATGTAAATACCTCAGACCAGGTGAAAGCCACAAAATCTCAACAAAACCTGTTTCTATGTTCTCGTTGTATCTCAGTGTAATGATAATAAAGCTTATTCTGATTCTGATTCTTCAAAGCCCACATGAAGGTTACTTTTTAAAGAGATAAATACTGACAGCTGCACTAAGTTTTGATCAAATGTATACAGATTTACACATTTTACTTATTTTTGTGGTTGTAATGTAGAAAAATTAAATACCTAACAATGTTAAGTCAGGTCATCTGGATGGTTTCTTCTTTTTTGCTGAGACGTTTCGTCCTTCATCCAAAGGACTGCCTCAACCAGAGAAGCCACCAAACAAAACTGATTCCCACAAACAACGTACTCCATAGAGGGGAAAAAAACCAATTTGCTGGTGCTAAGATGGCCTCTGGGGCCCACCCTCTCATCCGGGGCCCACCCTCTCCTTCGTCAACTCCTCTGAAACAGTCATGCTAAAGTGGTTCAAAACACCAAAGTTCATGCTCAATAATCCAGGTATAAAATCTAACAATGTTCAGTCAGGTCATCTGGATGGTTTCTTTTTTTTTTGCTGAGACATTTCGTCCTTCATCCAAAGAACTTCCTCTATCCGAGAAGCCACCAAACAATAAATTAAATAGACCAAGAGCAATTTCAAGCAATATTTCTCAGCCAGTACTAAATGAACCTTTTGATTATTTGTGGAAACTGACTTTCTTGTCAAGCCAATCAAAACATGGTTATCTTGACTCGGACTAATAAGAAAAAGACTAGCGAGGCTAGCAGTGTGTAGTGAACTCGGCCTCCGACCAAAACCTGCCTCTGAAGACCTTCATGGGACAGGAACTGTTATTTCATTGATTTGAATCCAGAAATACAAATTAGCTCATCCAGAGACTGTCTAATTGTATCCTGAAGTAATCAATTGAAAGAACACTCTTCTTTTATATTATCATCACTATTTTACAATATCTTGATAAATCAAAAGTGTGTTTAGTTCATACCATTTCTAAATGTTGAAGTGAACCACTCATTTTAAATCAACTGTGAAACAGTATTAATGATTTTTTAATCCTCATTTAAATTAGAAATCAAGTTAAAATGTCTATTTTACAAAGTAATTATGCATTTTTGATCTTCTGTCTGAAATGAGAAGTAGTGATGTCGGTCGAAAGTCAGAAGAGAAGTTATTGGAACGAAGTGTCGTGTTTTTAAAACTCTCAGACAGTAAATAAGAAAACTGGCACCTGTAAGTCTGTCATTTCTCAAAAAAAATTTCTCATCTGTAACTAACTGTTCCTAAAAACATTCCTACTGTTTTCTTGACTTGTAATGACCCTCTGACATCACTAGAACCTTGCTTCAACCAAGCAGGAGGCCCTAAAGTGAGAACTCTTTAAAAGTCGACACTTCCTGGAACTATTCAGTTCTGAAGTTCTGGAGTTGAGCTCTGGAGTTCTGGAGTTCTGGAGTGCTGGGTCTTGAGTTCTCAGTCTTGAGTTGAAGTCAGTCTGATGGAGTCATCCATCTCTGCAGGAGTCACGGCGCCTCGCTGTGACTTCACCCGGTGAATGCCCTACAACTTCTGGGGAAGTTAGTTCTGTTGAACGGAGTATCTCACGACTTCTGCCGAGTCGCCCTGAGGAGACGCTGAAAGGTAGCATGCCAGGGACCTCTTGACCGTAGCGGACCCATCCTCTGCCAAGGTAAAGAGTCGTCACGAGCTTAACGCACTAAGTGGACCGAGGGCGAGCTGCGTTTGGAAGGAGCGTGCGGTTCTGGTCCACAGACATACATCTTCCTTCAAACCTCTCCCTTTAAACTCCTCCATTTTTCCTATCTTTAAACTCTTCTATTTTGCCAGTAATGAATCTAGATATCTTCAGAAATGTCTGTTGTTTTTATTAAGTAAAACGTGCCAAGTTTTATTAATCAGAACCAGTTCAGCTAATCAAGTGTACAATGTTTTGATGTTAAATTTTGATTCTGTTAATAAATGACCACATTTATTTTGATGGGTCAAAGAAAAGTAACGTCTCATGTCACTGATTAAACCATCTACGCACAGTTACTTCTGTCACATGGCTGTAATTAGCTCGAAAAAGAGAGAACCCGTTATTTAAATTATATTGTAGTGAAGGTACAGCAAAGCTGACCTTGACACACTCCAAGTGTGTCATTATTTCCCACAAACTAAAGGTTGGAGCCTATAGCGTCTAATTTAATTCATACAATAGAAAAAGGAGTTCCAAGGTACCTCAATCATTGTGTTGTATATTCTAATCTGTTTGCAGACAAGCCTTTTTACAAAAATGAACTAAAAGTAGCATTTCTTGAAATAATGCTTATCACCCACTGAGCTGCATCTCAAAGTTAGAAAATGTTTTTAAGTGATCTGTTAAGAGTAGATATAGATAGATAGATTTTACTACCTCAGCTTGTTTCGTTTCATGTTTTTTCTCCTGCCAAGTGTTTTCTGTCCTGTCAATCATTCAGTTCATGTGCTTGTACCATGCCTCCTCTCCCTGCCTCTGCAATCGGTTTCATTCATCGCACCTGTGCACCTCCCTACTTAAGCTCCCTGTTCACCCTCAATCAGTGCCAGATTCTCGAACCTCTCTGAGCAGTAGAAATCCAGCGCTTGTTGTCTTTGCATCCTGCCTAGTTCTGAACCCAAGCCTGTTTTCTGATTACCCGACCAGCCTGCTCCCTTTTGGATTTTGTCTGCTTCAGTCCTCATGGTTAGTACTCTGCGCCTCCACACCAACCACAATTTAAGATCACTTATTTATTCTGCTCTCTGCCTCCCTGTGCTCAAACCCCTGCTACCCCTCTTGGACCCTGGAACTGAATTTGCCCTTATTGGACATGTTTTCTGTTTTGCTCCGCTGCTGCTGTTCACTCTGCATGAGTGACATCATCGGCTCCAGCGAGACTACAGCTCCTGTTATTCCATCAAGACAGAAGATCGGACTCAGACCTGCACCAGAAGCTCTTTATTTCC